CGGGAGCTGATGGCAGGGGGCGGGGGATATTTGATATTTGTCAATGTGGATATTGTGGATGAGTTCTTCTGCGTCATCACGTTCTATTAGTTCTACAGCTTCAGTTTCGGAACTTTCACGCTTAGTAACACATACAGCTGTTCCCTCACCACAGTGCAACAGTGAAAAGGGACCCCTTTCAAACAGTGTCGCGTTCCGAACGTTGTTTAAGCGACATACACCGGTATTGCGGTATTTTAAACATTCATATCATAGCAAAAATAAACACCGGTATTCGGTATGAACCGGTATACCGCCCAGCACTACTTGTAAGGTCCAACAGTACCTTCTAAGGTACTATTTTGGGTTGGCACCCGATGTCCAATGCAAGATCCGCATTGGATATTTACAAGCAGAATTTTAAATATGCATGCAATTGTAACAAAAAATACTAGTAAAATTTTAAGAATGTATGCAATTTTACTTGTAAAATTCTTCTTATCAGGTCCAAAAGTATCTTGTAAGGTCTGTTTTAGACTGCCACTTGACATTCAATGCAAGATTTTCTTTGGACGTTTAAAAGCAAAATTTTCAGTATGCATAAAATGTCAAATAAAAATTACTTGTAAGATTTTAAGAATGCATGTAATTTTACTTGTAAAATGTTACTCGTAAGGCCCAGCGGTATCTTGTAAAGAACTATTTTGGGCTGCCAATTGACATTATTTTCAAGATCTGCGTTTGGTGTTTACAAGCAAAATTGTATGTACACATACATTTGTAAAAAAAAAAAAAAAATTACTTGTAATTTTTTAAAGAATGCATGCAGTTTTATTTGTAAGGTCCAACAGTGCCTTCAAATGTGCTGGTTTGAACTGCCACTCGATGTTCAAAGCAAGACCCACATTAGAACTTTTACAAGCTAAATTTTACATACGCATGCATTTTATTTGTAAAAGTTTACTTGTAGGTCCAATAGTGCCTTTAAACATTGCTGTTTTGGGCTCCTTCTTGATGTCTAATGCAAGATCTGCATCCTAAAGCAAAAATAGTTGAGAACCACTGAACATACTTGTAAAAATGTACTCCTAAAGTCCATTTGTAAAATGTCCTTAAAATTGAGCATTGAAATGTGTTGAAAATACAGTGAACTGCATACGTCCAATAAATCACAAAATTTGACTGAATTGAATATTGACAATTTTGTAAGTGCATAAATGACAACAGAAGTGTGATTTTACCAAACTAACATGTGGAACAAATAGTGGGATAAATCTTGTTTTAGTATAGGCCAAATTACAAAGTAAATTTGCGGGAAAATGTCATAAAGTTTGATTGAACACATGCAGTTTACATCAACAACAAAATATATTGGAATTTATTTCTTATAGTATATATTTTTATTAATGTGACTTTCAGCATATGTATTTTTGATTGATGTTCACAGAACTTAATCAGAACACTAGTTGAAAACCTCTGTAGCTTATTATGCATTATAGGATATGATGGCTTCACCTTAGAGAGAAGGATGGAAATATTGGTTTAGGGGGCTGACCGTGAGAGTGTTTTTGGGGTGGGGGATAAACTCATTTTGTAACCCCACACTGTCTGAGATCTGAAGATGTTGGTGGTCTGAACCCCACTCAGCGGAAAATTGTAAGTGTTTCGGTGTTTGTGGTATTCAATGACATCCGGGGAAACTTCTACAGAAGAGAAATGTTCCACCACACACATTCTCTCACACACACACATCACAGTTTAGCAAGTTCTACAAAGAGATTATCCTTTCTGCATTGACCCGCAGGACAAATAAGGCTGTGCTGATGTAAGTATCAGATATAACCGTTATTTTTAGAACTGATTTGTGTTTTTGTGATCTTACGATTGAAAATCTTTGAGTTTTTTTTTTTACTTCATATCTTTTCATTCTTCATCGTCACGATAACCATAGGAGTTAAAGAGATCCTAAACAGTGATACTTTTGTCTCAAAAGACTTGCTTTGTAAAGGTACGCTGGTGTAAATTTAGTCAAACGGATGTCAAAAGTTAAAGTGTGCTGAAACACATTTGTTATTGATGGCACTTTTTGTCTGACAGTATCTTTCCATGTAGATTGTGTCGTAGATTAATGGTTGTAATCAGTTGGGTGGGGGAGTTTGAATAAGCGAATGTGACCATCCAGAAAGGTTGCATGTTTGTTCCTACAGGTCATGAACTCTGACCCCCTGTTGTTTACGCAGCTGCCTTTAAGTGTTATGGGAGCTTTTTTTGTACAGCATGAACATGTGTAAAGAAACTTAGGTGTGTCCATTTTTAGAAACCACTAAAAAAATGTACAAATAAACCATGCCGACAACTGAGAATGATAAATGATGCAAATGCCATTTCAAAGGGGAAGAGAAAGCTTGGTGAATCCTAAAGAAAAAGACTTGTTTTATCTTATTCGTTTGTAAAAACCATAAAAGGTTAGTTCACCCCCAATAAAGACAATCATTTACTCACCCTCATGTCATTCCAAACCTGTATGACTTTGATCTTCTGTAAAACACACAAGAAGATATTTTGAAAAATGTTCTGGTGTTTTGTTTTCGGTCTTTACAAACAATGGGGTCCAATCGGTTTTTGTTTGGACCCCATTGACTTTCATTGTAAAAACAAAATGCAAACATAAAACAAAAAATCTTGTTTTTTGTTCCAGGTTTAAACAAGGGTGAGTACCCCAAGTACAACTAGTGAATGTTAGTCACCCTCTTATGACCTTAGCACCAGTAAACGTGCTGTGAATGTGTTAAGCCAGTGTTCCTTGAAAGAGACTTTGTATACAACATCACATAAGCTCATAACCTGCTCCCCGTCAGCTGCCCTGTGGACAGATATGGTCCTTTCCTCCCAGATTGTGGTTACAACACACAGAAAAGCAATGTGAATGAACAGGTCTATCAAATAACAAGAAACAAAGACTCTAGATTGGGTGGTGTCGAGTCTGAGACCCTACAGTGAGCTAAAACTCTAGAACAAACTCCTTAGCGTAAGAGTTTTTTGATCTAGGTCTAGGAGACTCACTGTCAGGTCTTTGATTCTGAGTTTTTGGCTCTAGATATTCAGCTCTAAAGGGTCCAGAGTGGGCTGTCTAGAGCCAGTCATTCTAGAATGGGGGTGTCTAAAGTCTGAGATTTATAGTGGGCCGTCCGATACACTACTTTGATTTTTCTCTTGACTCTAGAGTGAAATGCATAAAGCAAAAGAGTTTAGATTATCTTATGTAGAGTTAAGTGTCCATTTTTACACAGTTTTTTGGTTTTAGGTTTTGTTTTTGTCTTTTGACCATAATATCCCTTAGAGTTAGTTGATATTTTGACATGTAAACTTTATTCATTTTAGTCAGTTTTTAGTGATGCTCCAAAATTGATTTTGTTTTACCAAAAAACAGAAAACTAAATTTATGTTTTCATTTCGGCTGAAAACCAAAACTGAAAACCAAATTTGGGTTATCAGGTAACTGAACTTTTTATGTTCTTCATCTAGGTTTGGTCCACAAAATAGATGCTGACTAGACTTGTGCCGGTATTCGGTAATGCGATATATCACTGTAATGAATATGCACGATATTGTTATTGTGGGCTCTTCTAAATACCGTGAATAATTATATTTTACAAGTTATTCAGAATTTTTAAATGCATTTTAATGAAAATTTGATACCGGCATATCCCTAATGCTGACACATTTGAAGCATGTCATTGGAGAAGCACTATATAATATAATATAATATATAATATAATATAATATAATACATGTTTTATTTATTTATGTTTTTGCTGAATTTTTTTTAGGATTATGTTGGATCAAATAAGTAAATTTTTAAAAAAAATAATTTTAGAAATGTGTATTTTAGCAAAAACACTTTAGTTGTGAAGGAAGTTCAAAATTAAACCAAACATTCAAACAGTTTCAATTAATTTAGACATCAACATTAAATAGCAATATTGTTCATTTTTATGCTCTTTTACGTCTTTAATTCATTATTTATTAAATGTTTTTAGTGTATTGTTGCAAAAAGTGCACATTCATAGCATGACGTGCATATTCTGACTAGCATGTAACTTAGCTTAAGTCCATTTGTGTGTTTGCAACATTATGTGCAGAAGTAAATTGTAATATTACATTTGTTGTGTATTTATCTGATTAACTATGTGTATAAGATGTGTTTGGAGTTAATTAACCCGCTAGAAAAGTGCTTCAGTTTACAACTGTTCATTATTAGCGCAAACATTGTAAACATGGGTGATATTTTGCGGTATTTTCTTGTCTTTTATACTTTTTTCTTGTCTTTTATACCTCAACAGCGTTAATTATCATCTTAAAGTGCATTTTTGTTGTGTTTTTGTTATCGCTGATGATATCAATATCAGTCAGAAATTAAATTAGGTGTGCGAGATTGTGGTTGTAAAATGCTTCGTCTCTTTTTGCTAGGAGTTCAAAGGAAGATTCACAGCATTCTGATTTGTAGAAATTATTCCATCTTAGTGTGTCTGATTGAAATTGCTCGATCTTTTCTAATATAAATAGGTTTTCAACAAGGTATCTTTTGAGGGACACTTCAGTGGGCCGATTGTCTTGAGGAATCTGAGAGCTAGCCGAACATGACCTTGTTTGCTTTGAGAAGAGCGTTTAGTATCACTAAAACCTTGAATGAAAGAGTTCAATATTAGAGGATGAATGTCAGCAGTTTTAGAAGCTGAATTAGGTTAGCTTACAGAGAAAAAAAAGTAAATCTATTAAGCAGTTTCCTTTCGTGAGTTCTGAATCCGAATTATCTTGACACCAACCCTGAACTCTATTTCCTTTACGAGTTTCTTCAATTGAAAGACTGTTTTCTAAGTGCCTTGTTTTGATTTTTGCTTTCCCATCTCTACTAGTAGAACCTGGAAGCTAAAATCTTTCAAACATTTTCCCTGCTCCTTATAGCTGTTTACAGGTACTTTTAGGTGGACTACAGACGAATGTTTGTGACTGATGTTTGCCGTAGGATCACATGGGCTAGTGTGTGTATGTGTGTTTTACACTGCTTAATAACATTTACCGTGGTCAGGTGAGCGTGTTGGTGACCTTTAGCTTCTGTGTGTTTCGCAGACGGAGTGGGGACCGTAATGACCGCACGCTTCCGGTTGCCTGCTGGCAGATCTTACGATGTGGGAGCGTTGGAGGAGGCCAGAGAGAGACAGCACGCGCAGGTGGTGTGTAACGTTTTACTGCTGGACAACACAGTACAGACCTTCAGAGCCAATGTGAGTATACACCCGTTCATTCATGTATGTGTAACGTCTGTGAAGGAATAGTTCATCCAAAAATGATAATTTGCTGAAAATTTAGGCTACTCGCAATCAGGCCAAGATGTAGATGAGTTTGTTTCTACAACACTTGCTCAGCTTTGCAGTGAATGGGTGCCGTCAGAAAGAATGAGAGCCCAAACAGCTGATAAAAACACCACTCCAGTCCATCGAAAAGCTGCCTGTTTGTAAGAAACAAATCCATCATCAACACAATTTTAACGTCAAATCATTGTTTCCGGCAAAAATATGAGTCCTCTATCCATAATATCTTGTCTGAATCAGGAGAGAAATATGCACAAATCAAGCACCGTTTACAACTGAAAATAGTCCAAAACTGTTCTAAACAAATATGTTGGTGGATTTTGATGTGTTATTTAAATTATATTATGGATTATGGGCTTGTATTTTAGACAGATGCAACTGTTTGACGTTAACGTCTTCATGATGGATTTGTTTCTTACAAACATACAGCTTTTTGCTTCTCAAGATGTTAATTGATGGACTGGAGTGGTGTGGATTACTTGTGGATTATTGAGATGTTTTTATCAGCTGTTTGGACTCTCTCATATTGATGGCACCCATTCACTGCAGAGGATGCATTGGTGAGCAAGTGATGTAATGCTACATTTCTCCAAATCTGAATGAAGAAAAACTCATCTACATCTTGGATGGCCTGAAGATGAATACATTTTTTATTTTTGGCTAACTGTTTCTTTAATTAAGCTAATCCACCCTCAGCACTAGTTATTTTCCTAAAGAAGGCCAAATTTCATTGCGTATTTTTGTTTAGTATTAAACTCCAGTGCTGTTTGTGCTACATTCTTGGAAATCATGAGGAGTAAGTGTGTTTTTTCTTTTGTAAGTGATCAGAGCTTAGATTTTCATCTGGTGGATAACAAAACAGGCAAAAAAATCCTGTAAATTTACACTGAAGGTCACAGGGTGGATTTTTTTGGCCTTTGGCCAATAACAAACCATCTGTCCATCAAACAACCACTCAGAACCCTTCCAGCAAGATGCTAAAAACCAATCAGAACGCCTTAGCGGCTGCATAGCAACGCCCTGGCAACCACTCAGAACGCTCTGGGATCTTGGCAGCAGGCCAACACCACTCACAATCACTTCAGAAAATGCAAACATCTGCTTTAATTCAACAGTACTTCAATACTAACTAAGATTGCAATTGTTTTTATTTTGTGCTTTTGGCAGAAAACCAAGCTCTGAATTCAGTGGCAAGTTCAAAGTAGTTTGATTTTGTAAGTCTTGAGTGAATAAAGACCCTAATATCTCAACAGTATTCTTCTGTTTTAAGGATCTCTTTGGATGTTGAGAAGAGCCAAAGATTCTTTCTCTAGAGTCCTACAGAAACTTCTTTAAGGGTTCAGAAGGGCTTTAAGGAATGCTTTAAAATTCTTGAAAACCTTTGGAAATAGATCTACACGGTTTAAATGTTCTTCATAAACCTCTTGAAAAACTTATAGCAGAAGTCTTTGAGAACTTAAAGAATTTCACACAAAATCTACATGATGCACATTTTCCCCCTCAGACGAGTAGTTTAAAACACAGCAATCATAAATCGAAAAAATCTTTTACATGTCATTCCAAGCTTGTATGATTTTCTTTCTTCTGTGGAACATGAATGAAGATCTTTTGCTGAATTTCTCAGCTGCTCTTTTCCAACTAACCAAAATGTTGGCTGTCAAGCTCCAAAAAATGTCCAAAGAGCTACATTAAAAGTTGTCCGTAAGATTTGTGCACTACATTTTAAAGGGGTCATATGATGCGATTTCAATTTTTCCTTTCGGAGTCCAGCCCGGGGTCGTCACATGTGGTTGCCGCAAGCCCGCCGTCCGTTCCTTCGTCGAATCCGCCGGCCGCGCCGTTCTCAAGCCCGCCAGCCGTTCCTCACTCTATATAATAATATAATGATCAGATAATGATCTTCTGGAGGTTGCAAGTTCAATCCTAGGTAGAGGTGACCCAGAAACCGCAAAGTAACTGATGTCTGACTTTTGCTGTATCAGAGTTTCACTCCTCTGTTGCAGCGCTGCCGTTAAGTGTGCAATAAATTGGTTTGGATGAAAAATGTCTGCTAAATGGCAGGTCGGTAAGAACCACCACAGGAGACCAGCCGTCTGTGAGGTACAATAGAGGCTGGCTGGAGTTATACGATGTGGCGGCTGGGGTTGGTTTTACACGTGCAGCTCACAGTGGCTGTTTCGGGCAGATGCTTCACATTCCTGGGTTGGACAGAAGCGTGTCCTGAGGCCATGGCTGTCATGATCATACATGCTACACAGATCGTCTGGGTTGAATGGTTAAGCTAGCTTGGAAAATTTGGGTCCAAAAATTATTCAGACCGAGTCTGGGAAAAAAACTGAAGTTGAGGTTTGCATGAAGCTGGATGACAGCATGCCCAGGAGACTACAGGCTGTCATTGAGGCTAAGGGTTGCCCGACAAAGTATTGATAGTTGTGTAAATACTGTCATACTAGGGTTATTAATCCGTACAACTGCAGCAGTGGAGGACTATTATTTTGCTGCGTGATACTGCAGAAGAACTGATGACGGCACGGTTTGATCTTCGGCTGACCAATCAGCAGAAAGGGCCGTTTAATTCCCGCCCACATGTAGAAATCAAATATTCAAGCTGTTTATTCATTTTTCCACCCATGAACGAAAAACGAAAATTTAAGCTGAATTCCCGTTTCTCGTTTTTTGGGAAAAAACGAAAAAGGAGTCGTTTTCTCGTTTTCTACTTTCAATATTAAATCAAAAAACGAATGATCGAATTATACACGGATTGTTTGGGTTGGTTTGTTTTGTCTTTTGTATTGTCTTTTTTCTAGTTTGGTTTTTGTTTGTTCAGATTTAGTTTTTGTTCTGGTTTGGTTTGTTCTGGTTTAGTTTATTATTATTTTTTTTTCTGGTTTGTTTTTTTGTTTTTATTTGTTTTGTTTTGTTCTTTTTTTCTGGTTTGGGTTTTGTATTGGTTTATTTTGGTTTGATGTGTTCTGGTTTGTTTTGGTTTTTGCTTTGGTTTGTTCTGGTTTGCTTTGGGTTTTTATTGTAGGTTTAGTTTTTGTATTTTGTTTTGTGCTTTTCCTTAGCTTTAGCTTTGTGTTTTGTCTTTTGTTTTTTTTAATGTTTTAACATGTTTTCTTGTGTTTTTATTTTGTGTGCTTTCTTTTATTTTTAACAGTCCAGAACTGATATCAAAACACGTTCTGTCTCTTGTAGAAGCAAGATCAGGGGCGGATCTTGTTGGACGTAGTGTATAAACACTTGGAGCTGACGGAGCGAGACTATTTTGGCCTTCAACTAGCAGATGACTCTTCTGACAGCCAGGTAGATGCTCACCTGTCACTCAGTTGTCGCCGTCGGCAACAGATCACCCATAAACCCTTGTTCATTCAAGCAGCACAACATGTCAATCTGAAATGTTGTATTTTTTGCGTAACAGCAATAAGAAAGATGCAAAAATATTATCCCATGAACCTTGTTTATTATTTATAGTGAGCAGTTTGGCAGTTATTTTGGTTTCTACACACACAGTGTCAGTACAAACAGGAAAGTTCATTCTAAGGTCACATATTGAAATGCTGATTTCTGTTTCTGCTCGTAGTAAAACGAGGTGAATGTTTAGGTTCATTGCATTTGATGTTGTTCGGTTTTGATTCGACGAGCAGATTTAGTGACTTTCACATTGCTGAGCTGATATTTTTAGCAGTTTGTGTGTTCATCCTGAAAATGTTGAGTAAAAAGTGTCCTAAATTTTGGTTATGACCGTGTGTTTCAGAGGTGGCTGGACCCAAACAAACCTATTAGAAAACAGCTCAAAAGTAGGTCATGTTTTACAATTTTTTTAATTTGAAGGTGTTTGTTTTGAAGTGTCAGAATAAAATGTTCTGATTGTAATTATTTTTCATTTTTAGGGCCGTCTCCACATAATCTGAGGTTTAGAGTGAAGTTTTTCGTGAGTGACCCTAGTAAACTACAAGAAGAGTACACAAGGTATAGTTTCGTTTTTTTTTTTTACATTTCTCCACATAAGCTGTGCTGGGTCGATTACTTACAAATTGTAGTCTGTTACTGATTACAAATTACATGATAAAAATTATAGTCACTAATGTAATCTAGATTACTCATTTTAGGTAATGTATTCTGACTACTTTTGGTTTACTTCTAATACTTTTGACCTAACTTGTTTATACCTTTAAATGGGTTTATACCTTTAAATAACAAATAAGCTAAAATAAATAAAATGAATGACCATTAACCGACATGAGAGAACATGCAAATGTATTGTTAAATTACTGAAATACTAATTAACTTTAAATATGAGTAAATATTTAAGGTCAGAGGGGTTTGACTAGCAAAAAAGTTTGGGAATCCCTGTGTCACATAAACAATTATTTATAAATTTGAAAAGAGCAGTGACATTGTCAAAAGTCTTCCAGGTTTTAAATATTTTGTTTTTTATTATATTTGTAATAATTTACAGCCATTGTGTGAATACTTTAAAATCATGTAATCCATTAAAAAGTAACTGTAATCTAATAATGAGTATTTAAAAACATAATATAATTACAAGCACTACATTTTTGGAATCTGATTATGTAATTCAGATTACATGTAATCAGTTACTACCAAGCTTTGCACATATGACAAGTAAAATTCTAAGTATATTATATCATATTATTACATAACTTAACTTATATCTGTGTAAATAGTACAAAATAACACATTTTCTCTGTCTGGATGTTTATTACGGATCTAAAAATAATTTTGTTTGTGATATTTATTTGTTGCAGGTATTTGTACTTTTTGCAACTGAAGCAGGATATTCTGAGTGGCAGGTGAGCTTATATTATTTATTTATTAAAACTATGTATTTTTCCTCCAAAAGCAAATCTCATATAACACTTTACTTTCTGCTTCTCTGCTAGACTTCCTTGCCCACAAAATACTGCAGTTCTTCTGGCTTCTTATGCTGTTCAGGGTAAGTATTACAGCTTATTTTTGCACTAACAATTAGTGGTCCTATGGGTTTTTCAATGCCAATGTCTATAAAGCATTGTAATAGCAAATAAACATGAGGAATCTGTAATGAGGTTTTCTGTTAATCAGGCTTTTTTTATTTTAAATGTTAAAGCTGTAATGCATTATCCTAAGTATGTACTTGCAATCCGTGATGGTTTACACGTCAGTTTGAATGAAGCAGATTTTGAGGAACTGATTGCAAACTCTCTGACCTGTGCGTTTGTTTGGCTGGTGATATAACCATCCACACAGGATGAACAAAAGCTTTGACAAATAGTCCATGATCTGCCTTTTGTCTCTTTCCTGTCCCTGTCTGACCCATTTCCAGTAATAAGGCTGAAAATGTATGATTTATTACATAATTAACAATCTGTTGAGGTAACCGGTCATGTTACACTCACCACAGCTGGTGTGTTTTACTAGTAGCTTCACATTTGATTATTATGGAATGGCATAACTTATGGCATAAGGTTCCTGTTTTTGTTAGGTTTTTGCTATTTTATAATTTTGTTTTCATTCTTGGCTTTAATTTTAATTTTTTTAATTGGCGGTTATTGGTGGTTTTGTTGTGCACACTCATTTCTGCCTAGTTTTCATTTTGATGACCTATTTAGTGCTGACTTAAAAACTACTAAAATAACAATACAAATAATTTAATAACACTGTTAAATTTAATTTCTAAATGAATATCTGTCTTATTCTTTAATTCTTCAAATTATAGTGTTGAGATAAATGTACTTGCTGTACAACTTTTTTTCTTTTGAGAAAATTGTACAAAATGATTTAATGCTACAAATTATAATGTTAAGATAAATATACTTGCAACTTTATTTTTAGTGTTTGCATTTTGTGGAGAAAATTGTATAATTGTTTGATGCTTCAATTTACAGTATAATGTTCAGATAAATGTTCTTGCAACATTACATTTTTTGTGGATTTCTTGAGAAAAATGTACAAAATGGTTTAATTCTTCCGATTACAGTATAATGTCAAGATAAATGTACTTGCGACTTTGTTTTCAGTGTTTTTTTTAGAAAATTGTACAAAACTAATGCTTTAAATTATAATATTGAGATGAAACATTAAAAATAAAGAGTCAAGTCGATTTATCTCAACATCATAATTTGAAATGTTAAACAATTTTGTAACAAATGTAATTTTTAAAAAATGTAATTTTTTGTGTGGTTTTTTTTTTTAAATAGAGATAAAACACTAAATAAAGTTGCATGTCAATTGATCTCAATATTATGGTTTGAAGCATTAAACAATTTTGTCCATATTCTCTGAAATGAAAAAGAACAAAGTCGGAGGGACATTTAAGATTTTTATTTTTATTTTATTTTTTCAGAAAATTGTTAAGAAAAAACTAGTTTAATGCTTCAAATTATGATGTTAAGATAAATGAACATGCAACTTTATTTTTAGTATTTTTAAATTTTTGTGAATTTTTTACAAAATTGTAATACATAATAAATGTTAGATTAATATATAAATTATTAGTAGTATTTATTGTTAATTTTATTAGGTTTATGCAACAACATGAAATATTTTTTATGTAAATTATCAACTTGTCAGTATCATCAAAATGTTAATTTTGCGGGAGGAAAAAAGCTTGGGAATAACTTTCAAACTATTTTAAGAAAGTTAACGGTTTTCAGTTTAATTTCTGTTGAGTTTCCAGTAGACCGAATGAGTGCTCACTTAGATCATGAGGAAACTGGAAGTCTGACTCTTTGAAAGGGTGAAGGACACATTGTGCCCCGTGTCTCACGCTGACGTACATGCACACATGGTTTCATGGCCTGTTTTGTGTTTCAGCTGAGCTGGGGGACTACAGTCACTCCGAACATTTGCCTGGGTACCTCTCCGAGTACAGCTTCATTCCCAACCCACCGCAGGATTTTGAGAAAGAGGTCGCCAAACTTCACCAAGAGCACAAGTAAGAGACGCCAGACATGTCCATGAAATCCTCCAGTGTGTTAAAGATTCTTATAAGGGGCGTGGACCAGTCTTAACTTTTATAAATAATATCTTTTTGGGTTTGAGTTTGACTTTAGTCTTTGCAACTTTAGGGATCTTATCTATTCACGAACAGCTTGTAACACTCCAAAGAGAAAGGAAAAATTGAAATCGCATCATATGACCCCTTTAAAGAAAGACACTTAAGCAAAACATGGTCAGGTCAAAGTGTCTGAATAATTTTTGGTTCCAAATTTTTATACATTTTACTGGTAGTCCATTGTATGAAGAATTTTTGGGTATAATATGTCACAGTTCACTTTATTTTGCTATCCTCACTGAAATAATTGAACTATAGTGTCCTGCACCCACTAGTTAAAAAAATATCAAAAATTATATCTGGTGTCTGAATCATTTTTGGTTTGACTGTATATCAAAATGCTACTGACTACAGTTAATTTTCTAGCTGAAAAAAGCTTACATTTTTTAATTGCTAGTAAATTTTACAATTAATTAAAAAGAAATGGAAAAAATTAAATGTGAAAGTTTGAAGTAGAAAGCAGTAGTAGTATTTTCGTACATCACTATTATGTTGTTCTAGGTATTTGTTCATTCAGTATACTGTTTTGTCATCTGTTGTTTCTTTTAACTGTTCAATCCATCTAGCGTTATTGGTCGATATTGAAATGGTCACCAGTATAAGCATCCTTTCTTAAGTAAACCAAAAGTTTAAGCACCCTTTAAAACAAAATGGTTTTGATGTTGCCATGGAAACTGCATCCTTATGGTTTCCAACTCTTGATGATTTCAGGACCACTGTAACACAGAGATTTACATCGGAGTTTTGTCTGCCGGCATCTCCGTCTATAAGGACAGGGTACGAGTCAACCACTTTCCATGGTGAGTGTCATTTTATCTGTGAATTTCTCCTTAGACGTGATTTTATTTGGGAAATTTGCATTGAAATAAACACAACTGAAAGCTTGTGGATACAAATTTGTTTAATCTTTTATGTCCCATTCCCTCTCTTTTTTTGTGTTTCAGGTTGAAAATTGTAAAAATATCTTTTAAATCTAAACAGTTTTTTATACAACTAAGAAAAGAACTGGTATGTACAAAATTATGTATTTGTTTAGACTTGTTTTTCATTTAATCTCTCTTTACTTGATTATTGTGTCTAATTATGTTCATTATTACCTGCTGTTTACTTAAGAAATAACTGAAGACTACAATTTAATTAATATTTTACTTTTTAAATTTGAAATCATATCTTTTGCTGTAGTATCAAAATAAAATTTTTTTTTTTGCAAAATTGTGATTGGTACTAACAACTGAAATGGTTACATACTAAAATGGATAATTTTCTAAAATCTACTTTGAGCTCAACAAACCTTTTTTTCTCATTTTCTTCCATCTGATCTCTGTTTTTTTTTTTCATAATGTGTTTCACATTTAACTGAGTGTCAGCGGAGACTGAGGAACAAAGGGTCACAGCTGAACACACACACACACACACGGACAGATTTGTGGAACAAGGCGGTTCATTGTTTGTGGATCTGTGAGATTGAGTCTCTCTCTCTCTCATGCAGTGGACTCACACCAGCTCAGTCCGAGTTTAACTACTTGAATGCTGCGCAGACACTGGAGCTGTATGGCGTGGAATTGCACTATGCTCTGGTGAGTGACTGGCCCATCTTACCCCGTTGTCTGCCCCTCGTGTTTCATATATACTGCAAACAAACACTAGAGGCTTGATGATGTCTGCTTTCGCTTAAAACTAGGGATGCACCCTTGTTTTCTTTCATGTTTTGCTTTATTTGGGTTTTTTTGTGTTATATTTGTTTTTGTTTTTCAGTGTTTTTTATGTTGATTTTTGTTCTGTTCTGTTTTGTTTTTTGTTTTCTTAGTTTTTTTGTTTTCTTTTCTTTTTAATGTTTTGTTTGGTTTTTAGTGTTTTTTTTTTATGCTTTGATTTTGTTTGTTTTTAGTGTTTGTTTTGTTGTTGTTGTTTTTTGTGATATAATAAATCAGTGTAGTTCTTCTTCAGCAATTAAAGGGGTCATATGATGTTGCTAAAAAAAACATTATTTTGTGTATTTTGGAGAGAAACCTCTTCCTGCAGTACTTCACACTCGGATCCAAGTTTCGCTACTGGTGAGAACATTAGAAGAGTTTGAACTCGTGTGTTGTTTTTTTGGTATGGACTGTGTATCACCAGCAAAGTCACGATACGATACATATCACGATACAGATGCCACGATGCGATACGTATCACGATACGGGTCTGCATTGAATTTCACCTCAGAAGAGTTTAGTAAAGCAGCTGTTTATTAAACACTGCATACTATAGTGCCATTTCTAACTATTGGCAGAGCAGGCAGTTGACCTCTGCATTATGAAGGGCCTCCATAACTGTACCACAGTACAATATAGGTAATGGCATATGTTTCATGTTTACATTGGGCACT